TGAAAGAGCTTGAGCTAGAAGGAGTAAAAGTGAGGACTGAAGTGCCAGGTGAACGAATTCCAGTTGAAGAGGGAGATGAGGTAGAACTTTCGCCCAGCATGACTAAAATATATCAAGCGTTGACGGCCAGAGCAAATTACTTAGCTCAGGACAGGTCTGACATACAGTATTCTGTAAAGGAACTCGCTAGGGCCATGTCAAAGCCGACGATGAGTTCTTGGAAGGGTTTAGTCAAGTTAGGAAAGTATTTGAAGTACCACAACAGAAGCAGCTATGTGTATCAATATCAGGAGCAGCCCCAATAATTAACTATTTGGACCGACACGGATTGCGCAGGATGTAAGCGAACGAGGAAGTCTACGAGTGGAGGAGTAGTAATGTGGGGTAAACATTTCATAAAATCTTGGAGCACGACTCAGAGTGTCATCGCATTATCGTCAGGTGAAGCAGAGTATTATGGACTTGTGAAAGGAGGATCAGTGGGTTTAGGACTTCAGGCAGTATTAAGAGACTTTAACTTGGAAGTTGATATTACAATGAAGAGCGACGCCACGGCTGCGATCGCCATTGCGAGCAGACGAGGCTTGGGGAAAGTAAGACATATCGAGGTGTGTCAATTGTGGTTACAGCAGAAAGTTAAGGAGGGAGTGATTCGTATTGTGAAAGTAGGGACACACGAGAATGCAGCGGATGCGTTGACCAAGTATGTCAGTCGTGAAAGCATGAGCACACATCTACGAAACACGAATCAATGTGCATTAACAGGTAGGCATGAGCTTGCGCCAGCTACCGAATGTTGATGTTCGCAGCTCATTTCTGTCAAGCAAACTGCAGCTATTAAAAGCCTTCTCCACCCATTACCTCTTGCTCTTGGGCGTGAACGAAGGCATGGCGGCTCCCCAGGTCAACCTCACCATTAACGGCTCCATGGTCGACCAGAGCCCGGCTGGGGGTGGACCGGTTACGCGTGAGAACCTCAACCGCCGTGTTGACGACATGGTGCACGTTGCTCACGCGTTTACCGTAACCCTTACTAACATGGCGATCAACTTCCACGGAGCCTACGACAAACACGTTGACGAGGCGCAAAGGGCCGCGGATGACATGGCGAAGAGGATCGAGGAATTAACGCGGCAGAACGAGGCACTGATCCAGGACAGTGACGACGTCAACGAGAATCTCCAAAGGGCGCAGGCGGAGATTAACGCTCTGATGGCGACGATTACGGACCTGAACATTCAGAATCGTGACTCGGGAGTTAACACGGAGGAGAATGCAACCAAGTATAGGCGCATCAACGACAACATTGGTTACCTCCTGAACACCGCCAAGCGCCTTACCGAGAACATCACGCCACTGCAGGATTTCGAGGGTAAACGTGATGCGGCACTGCGCCTGTTGGTGGCAGTAACCGAGAGGCTCGAAGGATTACAGAGGTTCTTGCATGACCCGATCAACTCCCCGGTTACCAACATCCCGCAGGTTCCTCCGCCGTTACCCGAGCGGCCCCCAACGGCAGTGGCCGCCAAGGCGCCTCCCACTGCAGTCAACGCGGCGGCCGAGGCCAGCAAGCCTCTAGCCCGAGCTGCCGCGGCATCGGGTGCACCCCCGGCTCAGGGCTTTACCGGCACCACGCCCAAGACCGGAGGGTTCGGTAGATCCGTGTCGCCGAATAAGATCCCGCAGTCAACGTCACCTCAACCTGTCTACAAGAAAGCACCCAAGGCCATGCATGAGCGTAAACGGGAACTGGAAGAGTTACTGCAGCTGGGAATGAAGATGGATGAAGATCGTGCGCAGGGCAGTCAACGTGACGAAGTACCAAAAGGTCCTGCCCCGGTGGTGAACGTGAGGGCGCCCAAGCCGCCTCCTCCAGGCCTTGGCGAGTCAGGTGCATCGAGCAGTGTTAGCGGCATGAATCCCCCGCCTCCGGCGCCCAAGAAGTTATCGACCCAGTATGTTCCTCCACCGCAGCCTCAAGCCGTTAACCGTACGGACGAGCAGCTTGCGGCATACTCGCGGAACATTGCCAGGGGCATGTACTCGGCGTCCCCCCAACATACTTATACTATGTGTTCGTCGCCCCCCCAGAGGCGACGCGCGAACCGAGAAATCTTATAGTATATGCGTCGTGGCGGGCGCTTTCTGGCCACACCGCTCGAGAAACGATATGCTACAAGATGGGTATACTATATGTTCGGTTCGGACGCGCGCCTCCAAGGCGGACACGTAGTATTAGTATGTCTCTGTGCATCCCATGTACCGCCCACTGTGCCATGTCAACGGCCGCATGCCCATGGTGAACGACAGGAGCGAGGACCACGACGTCAACTACAAGGTGGAGCCCGACCCCAGGGAAGTAGTCGCGTTAACGATGAAGACGCGCGACAACTGGCGCAGGTTCGAAGGCAACTTCGTCGGACATGTGGCAAAAGAGGGGTTAACGACTCCAGGTGGTCGGTCCATTCAGGGCAACGCGGGGCGGGAGCTTAACGACTACGATGAGGTGTTCGTCGACATTTACGGGCAGCACGCTTACGGCTTCCTCGGTTGCTCCGTGTTGAAGGGCCCGTGCAGCTGGAGATCTCAGTTGACGGAGAAGGAGCTGGAAAAGCACGACGAGTGGGTTGACGCGGTCGGGCACGTACAATCCCTGTTCGACGACGAGTACGTGCCGCCGATCCACGTTAACGATCTCCACCCAGTGTGGTTCGACGTTCGCAGCTGCCCAGATGCACAGGTCTACGTCAACGAGGCACCAGAAATGAACGAGAAGCAGCTTAACGGCCTTCTGCTAACGTGGGCCGGGATGCTGCCCCACGGCAACCCCGCCGTGGTCTCCGTTAAGCACCTGGTGGAAGACACTTACGGACCGCACGGTTACATCTCAACTGGGGTTACCGTGATCAGGTTTGCGACGCACGACCTTGCCAAGCTCTATTGCCGTTACATGAACGGGCTCCAGGTGTATTACCGCAACTGCTTCATCGAGGACCTCGAGGTCAGGAGCGCCGAGGAGTTAAAGGGCAGCATCAACAAGCCTCCGGTTTACTGGCACCAGACCATCCTAGACGTCGCTCTTAACGATCAGGGGTCCATGAGGGCACTTTACCGTGACAACTGGCCCGCCGATCACATCACCGAGCGTAAAAGTGACCACCGCGAGAAGCTTTGTTGGTTTGGATGGTTGCCGTGCGACGACTTCCCCAACTGGCTTACCGACCCGGCCTGGACTGTGAACCCGTTTACCGGAGTTGCGGTCGAGGAGCACCTCCGCAACAATCCAGGTGGTAAACCTCTGCTGAAGGCTCCCCACGCCAGTTACTGGAGGGCCATCGGTACCGGTACTTACCACAACATTGTTGACGGGTCCACCAAGAGCTTTGACAAGGGGTGCTGGCTGGACGACGAGGAGCGCATTAACGCGTACCTGGACACCGACTATTACAGCCCGACGCAGGCCCTTAACAGGGTGTCGTCCTATACGGCGGCCAGCGTGGGGCACCGTGGTTTACCGAAGTCCAGAGGCGCGCGTGCTCCGTCAGTGAGGCGCCCGCGCCGCTCGTAAACGGTGACAGGTGACCGGCATGCTTTTCTTTTGCGCCCTCTCTCATCTCCCCTCTCAACCAGGCTTAACAATAGCGTTGCAGTAGACTATCGAGCTGAATATATTCGCATGTGCATCTTTTATAGTTACCGCAGGTATTGGCGCATAAAAAGCGAAAGCAATCAAAACCATGTAAATGCTAGCCTGCCGTGTGAACTTTGGATGCTACATTTAAACTCGTAACTGATTGAATGTTTACTTGAGCTCACGTTACATGTCTGAGAGACGTGATGCTCGTGAACGTTGTTATGAGATATTTCGAATTCGGTGATATAACGATGCCCATGCAGCCTGTTGCTTGATTTAACCTGTCTTTGCGTTTATAGGCACCTCCCCGTCAGCCAATGCGGACTGGCGTCCGAGGGGGGGTGTTAACATGCAAGCGTGCGTGTGACAGGGGAGGAATAGTAACCCTGCTGCCTTTGGCTCAAGTGTTTAACGGTCGAAGCTTCATAGACCTGCTTTGCCGTTCGGGAGTATAAAGGTGACCTATCGTTATCATTGTTGCCAGGCTCCCGTGCAGAACCTCCTCGGGGTCTTTTGCAGGAGGCAGGAGGAGGAGGAGGTGGTGGCGGAGGAGGACGATGTGGAGGGGGGAGGGGGGAGGAGCGACGGAAGTGGCGGGGATTGTGGAGGACGAGGCGGAGGAGGAGCAAGAGGAAAAAGAAAAGGAGGTAGGGGCGAGGAGGAGGGAAAGGGGGGCGGAGGGGGAACAGGGGGATGGGGTGGAAAGGGAAGAGGAGCAGGGAGGAGGAGTGAGGAGGAGGAGGCGGCGGAGGAGGGGGAGGAGGGGGGGGGCGGAGGGGGGCGGCGGAGGAGGCGGAGGGCGAGGGGACAGGGGGGGGCGTGAGGAGGAGGCGGCGGCGGAGGAGGTCGGGAGGAGGCGGAGGCGGAGGAGGAGGAGGAGGAGGAGGAGGAGGAAGCGTGCGGAATTCGAGTCTAGTTGGATTTTTCTTTGTGTAATCCCCGAGGTACCAACAGACCCCAGAGGGCACATAAAATCCCTGAGTTGGGAGGTCACAAAAAGGGTCGTGGCCACTTTGGCTCAACAGCCATCGTTTTCATTTGTTGCATCATCGCTTATATCATAGTGCCCTGGGCCTCTGTCGACTGCCACTTGCTGTGCCGCACTGCGCTGAAACGCCCCCGTCGGAGTGCGAGACTCGTCTCGAGGCGAGGGGGGGAAACAGACGTCCCAATCCTCACTGCTGTCGTCCGTGGGGAGCGACAGTGGTATTGGAGCTGCGAGCAGCTCTGTGTCCGCGGACCGATGACGGCAGTTGCGGGGACGGATGATAATGTGGGGTCGCCCCAGACGACAAGTGGGGAGCGCGCCACAGCGGACGCAATGGCGCAGGCGTCGACGCAACAGGAGGGTCCTGGCATCATTCAGGACATCGCCAGCAGCTGGCGCGGGACATCTTGACGGTTACCCAGTCGGCCGCGCAGGCCGAGCCTGGAACCCCGACCAGGGGCCTCCAGCAAGGCCAGGGCGTCGGCAGATCCGGCAGCCAGGATTGGCGGAGCTCGAGCGACGAGACCGCGTGGCCCAAGGCGGGCTCCGACGCGATGCAGGCCGAGCGCTGGACAGGCTGGGGGGCTCAGCCAGATCCGGTGGTGGCCGAAGCCAGGACAGGACCCGAGGGTGGCGCGTGCGCGTCCGCTTCTGGGGCGCCCCATGGTTGGCCAGGCCTGTGGCAGCAGGGCAGCTGGTCGGTTCGCGAGCCTACGAGACCCGGCACGGCGGCGGGCATCCTCCGTGGCTTTCCGCTGGCAGTGAGGCGCAATGGCGTGCGACCGACGGCCAGGCGTGGGATCATAATTCATAATTACGACTGGAAGGTCGGAGCGGAACCCCCTCGCTGGTTTTCAGGCGTGTCCTGGGGCAAACAGGAACGTCATCGTTCACATGAAACGAGCTGGGACTACAATTCGAAATGTTGGGAGCCCAATCCGACTGACAAGTGCAGACGCAAAATCCAATTTTTGGGGACGCCAAGACGATGTCGGGAAAAGACTTCAGCGACCCCGAGAAATGGCCATCCTGGGGAGACTACCGCACGTGGACGCGGAAGGTCCTCAGGCGGCGCACGTTGACGGACGTGCCCGCGCACGAACAGGCGGACATATTGTTTCGATCTGTCGACTTGGCTTTTCAGCGCAAGGCCCGACCTGGCCAGCCTTGATCCTTCTTTCGCCCGAGCCTCCGCCGGGAACGACCGCGAGTCCGCTGCCGATGCATCTGGGCGCGATGGCGAGTCTCTCGCACGGCGGCGGCGGGGGCGGCGGTGTGCCAGGCTGCCAGCGCGTTGCCGAGGAGGCCCCCGCGGTGGTGAGGGGCCCCCGGGCCAACCAGAAAGCAGCGGCATCAGCAGCGTGGCGGGCGGCTTCGATCGAGCGCCGCAGCAGTGGCAACGCCGGGGGCACGGGCGCCGCGGGGCCCGACATCTACCAGGTCGAGTAGCTCAAGTCGCTGCAGCTGAAGGCTAGAACCGACGCGGCGGCCGCCACGAAAACACAATTCGCGGAGATGAAGGCTCTGATCCAGTTGGCGGAGGTTCTGACGCAGGGTGGGGCGAGCAGCATGGCGGACCCAGCCGGGGTCGCAGCCGCTGCAGTCGCGACGCCGAGGATGCAGGGGCCAGGCGCTGCGGCCTCCGACGCCGGCAGCGGCGCAGCCACCGAAAGCCCCCTCTGGCGGCTGGGCCCTCGTCGGCGGGCCCGAAGCCGCAGCCGCCCCCGCCGACGGCAGCGGGGGCGCCTTCGGACGCGACGCCGATGGGCTGGGCCTACATCGGCGCGGCCCCGCTCGACAAGACGGCGGCGCCACCCGCGATGGCTTCGCCAGTAGCGCTCCGCGAGCAGGCGCCCAAGAACGCGGGGGCTCTGTCCAGCGTGGCTCCACCGGCGCCGGGGGGGCACCATGTCCGACCTACGGCCCGCGGGAGACGCCGGCGGCGGTGCAGCAGCAGCGGCAGAGGTGGCAGGAGAGCCCGCCGAGGAACCTGGGCGCGGTCTTCAACGCGGCGGGTCTTCCCATGGGTCTTTCGCGACCGACCAAGGTGCTCTTTCCCGCCGACCGACCCGGCCGCTCCACCGATTCCAGCGGGCCCATGCTCCAAGGCGTCGCCAAAGAGCTCGACTCAGGGCAGGCCCGGAGACCTTTACCGCGCGAGGCAAGAGCAGGGCCAGGAGGGCTCCTGGGCGCCACCCCAGCCGGGCGACGACGAGAAGGGGCTCAAGCGCCCGCAGGCGAAGCGGCAGGATGACTGAGCCAAGGCCAGGTGGCAGACGCGCAAAAAGGAAGTCCGGTCGCGAGTGGCGCGGCCGATGCGAGCGAGAGCCTCTCCCAGGAGATGCGGGCTAGGATGTTGCCTCCAGAATATGAAACCTCGCCGAGTGCTGCATTCGCGCTTTATCGCTGGGGGCGGCTCCCAGGGCCAAAACCGGCGACAGGGGGATATAGTTGATCGTTCCAGCATGGGGGGGCGTCGTCGCGGGAGGTAAAACGAACGACGATCGCTAAGTTTTCTCGGCTAGAACCGAAAGAGGGCAGCTTCAGACCATCCGGGGCGATCGCAAGGTCGCCTCCGACCTTCGCGCCAGGTCATTAATGGAGATTTTTGTCTCTTTTGAGCGGCCCCCATTTTAGAGGGGGCTGGTCTCTCCTTCCTGGGCAGCCTGGATCTCGTCGCGGGCTGGGAATTTAGGATAAAGGGGGATCTGGACCGGGCCCTCAAGTCTGCGGCCGAAGAGAAACCTTGGGTGGTTTCCTTGGAAGCACCCTGTGCAGGAGCGCAGCCCGATCAGAAGACTCTTGAGAGAGCACGCCCCAGAAACTCCGGAGGTTCAGGGTGTCTAGAAGCGGGAGGCCAGTTTTTTTCGCGTTCTGCATGAATGCGGCGCCGCTGCTGGCGCAGGGCGGCTGGTGTTTTGCATTCGAGCACCCGAATGACACCGACCTGCGGAAAACGCACGTGGTGGGCATGGCCAGAAATCTCCCGGGAGTCCAAGAGGTGGTCTTTGACCGACGTCAGTTCGGCCAATCGATGGCCGAGGGCGCCCTGTCTCGAAATCCTCTTCGCATAATCACCAATGACCCCCCCCCCCCGGGCGCGGCAACTCGCCGGCCGTCAAAGCAAGGAGGGTCGCGCGCACTCTTCTTCTCTGTAAGGGGACTGCGTTGCCAATTATTCACTGCGTGGGGATCCCCATATGTGCATCTCCTTGCTGGCGCTCCCTTGGTGGTGGGACTCGGTGAGGACGAATCTAGATTTAAGTGTGACTGAGCTGCCACTCTCTCTCTCTCTCTCTCTCTCTCTCTCTCTCTCTCTCTCTGCTCTCTCTGTCTCTCTCTCTCTCTCTGCCCTCTCTCTGTCTCTGCCTCTCTTTCCCTGCCTCTCTCTCTCTCTGCCTCTCTCTCTGCCTCTCTCTCTCTGCCTCTCTCTCTCTGCCTCTCTCTCTGTGCCTCTCTCTCTCTCTGCCTCTATCTCTGCCTCTCTCTCTCTCTCTCTCTTCTCTCTCTTCTCTCTATTCTCTCTCTGCTCTCTCCTCTCTCTCTCACTCTCCCGTTCTCTCTCTCTCTCTCTTTCTCGCTCTCTCGCTTCTCTTCTCTTCTCTTCTCTTCTCTCTCTCTCTCTCTCTTTCTCTCTCTATCTCTCTCTCTCTCTCTCTTCCCTCGCTCTCTCTCTCTCTCTCTCTTCTCTCTCTCTCTCTCTCTCTCTCTCTCTCTCTTTCGCTCTCTCGCTCTCTCTTGCTCTCTCTCGCTCTCTGTCGCTCTCTCTCGCTCTCTCTCTCTCTCTCTCTCTCTCTCTCTCGCTCTCGCTCGCTCTCTCTCTCTCGCTCTCTCTCGCTCTCCCTCGCTCTCTCCCGCTCTCTCTCTCTCTCTCTCTCTCTCTCTCTCTCTCTCTCTCTCTTCGCTCCCTCTCTCCGCTCTTCCCTCGCTTTTCTTCTCCCGTCTCTCTCTCTCTCTCTTTCTTCTCTCTCTCTCTCTTCTTCTCTCTCTCCTTCTTTCTCTCTGCGCCTTCTTCTCTCTCTCTTCGTCTCTCGCTCTGTCTCTTCTCTCTCTCTCTCTCTCTTCTCTATCTCGACAGCGCGCAACGCTTCTCTTTTCTCTTCTCTTCTCTCTTTTCTCTTCTCTTTTCTTCCCTCTCTCTCTCTCTCTTTTTCTCTTTCTCTTCTCTACTCTCTCTATCTCTCTATTCTCTTTCCTCTCTCATTCTCTCTCTCTCTCTCTTCTCTTCTCTCTTTCTCTCTCTCTCCTCTTCTCTCTCTCTCCCCCCCCCCCCCCCCCCCCCCCCCCCCCCCCCCTCTCTCTCACTTTCAGTTCGGCTTGAGTGTGCCTGCACTTCGACCGCCAAAGCCGCACGCGAAGCGCCCCGCCTTCGGAGTCAGTCTCCAGGCTCCGAGAACGGAGGGGTCCCAGCAGGACCCTACTGATTCGCGTCACCTCCTATCCCCCCCCACCAGAGTGGCCGCCGCAATGGCCCCCGCCAAGCCGGAGCGCCGTCGCTCTTCCAAGCAGCCGCCGAGCTCGCGTCCTGCAGCTGAAGGGTCTCTCCTCCAACGCAAACAGGACTGCGTTGCAGCTTTCAAGCAAGCGGGGTCTGACCGCCCCACGGCAGCATACAACGGGCTCGCCGAGCTGAACGCGGACGAGCTGCAGGCCACGTACGACATGCACAAGACCAACACAAAGAAGCTCGGCAGTGCCTTGATCCGCATGTGTGCCGCCAACCAGATCAGCTACACGATGGATCACCACCAGCGCAGCAAGCCTAAGCGCAGTGGTGGTGACACACCCTACCCACCAACTGCGTCCGCACGTCTTCAGGCTGCGGACGCCCAATTCATTGCCTTGGACCCGGCCTTCTGGAAGGTCCCAGTCCTGGCCGAACCCACATCACTCGATGACGGCAAGACGTACAAGCCCAGCATCAGCCTCCACGACTACGAGAGCGGTGAACGGCTGCTGCAGCACCATCTAGAGCAGGGTAAGCGTACCACGGGTCAGCTTGCGATTGCTGTCATGGGCCCAAAAAACGATAACTACGTCGGTACCGAGCTCGCCGTCCCCGTGCTGAAGCGCCACCCCAAGGCGCCCCAAGTGGTCCACACGCACGTCCCCGTGACCGTGTACCAGCTGGGCACCAAGGAAGTCGCTTGCACGGAAAAAGTTGCCGTCGCCACCATCGATCCTGCCGACCACGTATGCTGGATTCGGGTGACCATACACGAAACCGAAGCCATCGCCGCAGTCCCCTCCATGCATCAGGCCTTCGAGGATCAGTTCTCGGGAGGTGCCCCCGTGAACGGTGGTCCACGCGCCAAGGGTCCTTTCCGAATGGACACCCCTCCACAGGACAAGGCGCGCCAAAACCAAAAGCACAGGGAGTCCAAGAAAGACGCTCGCCGCCAGGAGCTCGATAGTCAGCTCCAGGACACCTTCAAGGCCCTCTTCCACGGCAACTTTAAAGCCGTCACCATCCTCGAACCCTGCAAAAGCTTAGGCAGGTACGGATCAGGCGTCGGAAAGAGGTCCCTGGCCGCCACCTTCGGCGTCAGTCTTCAAGCGGTTGACAAGGTCTTGGCGGGTTCAGGGCAACTCGGTGCCACCTACGACCTCAGCAACGTAGGTGCAGACGAGCCCACTGCAGACAAGTACCAGACCGTGTGGTTCCCTGAGGACCAGCCCATCACGATGGCAGATGCGTTCCAGAAGTCGGTGGACTTCAAGGCCCTAGGTGTCGTCAGGCACGGCAAGTCAGGCTTATTGGGGATC